AGCGTCCGCCAGCTATATTTTCCCGACCTTGGCTAAGCGTTCGCGAAAGTATCCTGGTTCAATCCACTTCAACCAATATCAATATCGATTTATATCATGTTATTTCATGTTATATCCCTCAACTCCGTCAACTTTCGGTAGCGCACTTGGCTGCCAGGCCTGAGCACTGTCATCGGCCCCAATGCCACCAAATGGCACCACCACTGCATCGAAACGAGCGGCGACCCGAACAAAATCTGTTTTGCTGGGCCAAAAAAGTTGGTAGTCTTCCCCGGGACCATGGAGAGCCTCACGGATCCCACCAGGAAAGAGGAGCACCATCTCACCTGGACGGTCACCAACGCCAAATGCAGATCATTTGCACGCTTGAACATATCAATCTGATCTTTGAAGGATTTTGAAGGCATTTCTTATCAAGAGAAAGGGGTTATGAGCCCAAAACGCCTGTCTTAGCAATGGACGCTAGCCGAAGATCCAACTCAGTTCCCCCGGCATCCTTTTTTTGGGATTGATGGTGTCCAAACTGAGCATGCTCTTGAGCACATGCGGCGTTTGGATCTAGATGGTAGGGCATCAACCTGTTCCCCATGATGATGAGTTGGATATCTCACCAAAACCATTGCAAGAAGTACCATGCGGTTTGCAGTTTGGGGGTCAGTTTGAAACGTGCCAGTGAAAAGGGTCGTTCCGCTGAGCCTAGCAGTGCGGAGAAAAAGGCGGAAGCCGCTGTGGAGCCAGAGAAAGTCCAGGCGGAAACAGAGAATGGTGATGCTGCTGGTGCGAAGCTGGAGGCGAAGAGGACAAGGTGTGGACCGGTCTGTGAAGGCTGATCCGGGGACTGATGGGAATGTAGAGATGAATGGAAAAGAGCTAGTTGGGTGACCAGGTTGTTCGTCACTTTCAGTTTGAGGCAGCCAGGCTTCAGCAACAGAATGATGAGTTTCAAATGGAACTTCAAAAAATAGGGAAGAAATGGATCGTCATTGCTTTAGCAGTTCCGCCGTCATGGGTGCCGAAGTCACCTCCCCGCATGACCCCACCAATGGAATCTCATGGAGCATGGATGTCACCTGAGTCTTTCCTTTGCACACCAAATGGCACTCGTGTTCCACTGGGACCACCACCACCGTGCTTGGCCTCCGGAGATTAGCATTGTTGAGCCTAGTGTGGAACGTCCCAGGAAGATCCGGGGTGTGATGGGTGGGGATGGAAATCGGAGCAGCGATGTCTGTTCACCAAGAGCGGCTAGGAATTTCTGGTTTGAAAGAGAAGTAGCAGCACTGCAAGAGAAGTTGGATCAAGATGTTTTGAAAAACAAACATTTGTTTGGTTATTGATCCACCCCCTTTTTTCACAGAGTCTGCCAGGGAAAGAGAACTTGCTGAGTCAGTGGCATGCATGAAACGTCAAGCTGGTATGACTGATCGTCGGGTGTCTGGTGAAGCGGCTGGCCATCACGGCATATCTCGTGGTGATCGGGCAGGCACTGAGCATGTGTTTGGCGATCTTTATCAACAAGATCGGGTTAACTTGCGGCATGCCCATGGTGACGTATTTCATGGTGATCGGGCTAACATGCAGCATGCCCATGGTGATGTATTTCATGGTGATCGGGCTAGCATGCAGCATGTCCATGGTGATGTATTTCATGGTGATCGGGCTAGCATGCAGCATGTTCATGGCAGGGTATCTCATGGTGATCGGGCTAGCATGCAGCATGATCATGGTCTTGTTTGCTCGCAACGTCAGGTTGGCTTCGAGCATGAGCATGGAGATGTATATGCACGAGGTCCGGCTAGCATTGGGCATGAGCATGGGGATGTATATGCACGAGGCCAGGCGGCTAGCACTGAGGATGAGCTTGGAGATGTATATGGACCAGTTCGGGCTCGCAAAGAGCAGTTGCTTGAAGGAGTATGTGCTCAAGATCCGGCTGGGCGTCAGCGTAGCATGTCCCGAGGAGATCGAGATGTGGTAGAAGTAGAAGCAATCACTTTGCCTCTTTTGCCTTCACCAGAAGGGCGCGAGTCAAGTCTGGAAGCTGGAGATTGGTTGATCCAACTAGCGCCACTGGTTGGAGACTTGTCCGAACATGCAGAGTCTTGGTGGAGGAGAGTCATGCAGGCCACCACCGACAAGTACTCTGAATGGCTCTATGCTGACCCGTTGGCTCGATTGAAGATCACCGCCCTAGAAAACTCTAAGATCTCTGAGGGCTATGAGAGACGGGATCAAAGAATGACTTCTCTTCTTTTGCAGTCCATCCCGAAGGGCATCAAAGATGAGGTCGTTGCGGCGCGGGAGCTGACAACCACTGGCATACTCTTTAGAATCTTTCGCGCTTTTCATCCAGGTGGAATGGCAGAGTGCAGCCGACTTTTGGAAGATTTGGCCACTGCATCCAGCACCAAAACAGCTCAGGAGACGGTTGCTGCTCTACGTTTGTGGAAGCGAAAAAGAAAGCAGAGCCGCTGAGTTGCGCACTCAGCTTCCGGATCCACTGTTGATGACCCGAACCCTTGATTGAATCTCCAAGCCGATCGTCAATGGATCATCTCAGGCAAGCTTTCGCACTGCCACGTTCAGGATGAACCACAACCTGGACGTGAGACCTTCCATGGAGAATCTCTGGCTTTTCTTTGATCTGCTGTCGCGGAAGCTGAGAATGCTGTGCATTCAACCTCGACTGCGATTGTCAGTGAATGCAAGACTCCAACAAAACCATCAGTGAAAACACTGCAATCACATCTATACAGCAAAGTCCAGCGAATCGTCCACCCCATCACCATGGCCGTGCAAGTTTTGGTTGACTGATGGAAGATGTCGTCACGGACAGCGGTGTCGGTGGCCACATTCATGGGACAATGTGGGTGACAAGAACTCAAAATGCTGGCTTTGCAGCTCCACCCAACATCTACAAAAAGATTGGCCTACGAAAGCACAGGCACGTGCGCCTGTGGGGGGGATGGAGGTCAAGATGGTGGACAGGACGTTGGAGGTGGAAAAGAAAAGAAAGATACCAAAGGGAAAGGAAAATATAAGAGCAGCACGGGCAAAGGAGATGGTAAAGTGGGAGTTAAGGAGAATTCCCAGCCACAAATCAAAAAAGAAGATGGAATCAAGACCACCGGGAATGCGAATGAGGAGAACAGGGGTGCTGGAGGCGGTGCGAAAAATGCAGTTGCTCTAAGCACAGCTGCTACAAGTGAGAAGCCGGAAGGAGCTGGAGGAGGAACATCATAAGAGCTGTTACAAGAAGCAACCAAGATTTTGAAATCTTGTCACTTGCCCAGCGTGAAATCCATTAGCCTTCAAGAAGTTGGTGATGTCACTCAGAACCAGGAAGGAAAAATGCTGTTAGACAGTGGGGCGACACATGCGTTGAGAAGGGCAGCAACATGGTTGGAGCGGGAGGAGGCGACAGCTACAGTAGTTGCACTTGCTCGGGGTACCACTTCGAAACTGCGCCTCAAACATGGAACTACGACCTTGCTGCCCACGCCCCAGGATGACAGTTTTGGAAATGGCATTGTTCCGATCACCAAGCTGGGATATGAAGTTGCCTGGACCGGGGGAGATTTCCAACTGAGAGGGCGTGATGCAAAGAACTTGGATGTGGAGGTCGTAAATGGCTGTCCGTTGATCGACTGTGAGTTGGGCATGAAACTGATCAACGAGCTGGAGCACGAGAGCAGTGTGTCTTTGGCTCGGATGGCGATCAAAGCGATTTTGCAACAGCCAGATCTGGTGACGAAGTTCCCCAACTTAGATCCAACTGTGCTTCTCATGGTCTTGCTGAAACGAGAATACAGAATATCCAGATCTTCCTGACAGTATCTGCCGCAAGGTTGTTCCATCAACTCAAGAAGTTCAAGGAGATCAGCTGCCGTGGAACAGAAGGCAAAGGCGTCAGTTCTTGAGAGCTCGGCGAGTGGTGGTTAGCGGTCAAGATCAAAAGACATGGGGGAAGTTAGAGGATGCTCACACTGTGGTCATCTGTGTTGACAAGTTGATCAATCCCAAGATGGATATGATGAGCGACCAAGTGATGCTTTTCTTGAGGAAATTAATCATGAAAGGGTCGCTGCACGGCCTGATTGGGGCCCACCATGCGGGTCAGTTTCGGCCTGCAGGTATGCAGAAGATGGAGGTCCCAAGCCGATGAGAAGCAAAGCTGAAACATATGGCCTTTCAACTTTGACTCCTGCGCAGTTGGAGAAAGTCAAAGAGGATGTCACGCTGCTCTTCCGTATGATGCTGCTGCACTCCATCGCAGAGCACTACAAGGTGGGATGGTGCGAAAAGATGTTGTTTGCATTAGAACAGCCCCAAGACCCAAAAGAATATCGTTCCAATCAAGATGTGGGGCGACATGGATACATGAGTATCTGAAAAATGCTCGTGTGCAAAAGCTTTGCTGCCAAGTATGGGCTGCGCACACCAATTTTGAACAAGGGGCATGTGGACATATAAAGCCAAAACCTACCCTACCACTATAGCACACAACATTGATGGCTTAGATGAACTTCAAGGCGCACATGCCCCGAGAACAAGTGTGGAAGGTAAGCGACAGGAGAAAACGATGGAGGAGCGTATGGCAGAGTCATCAACATGGGTTACGTGGGCCCCCGGGTCACCCGCAGCGATGGTTGAGGGATGTGGAGACAGTTTGCCTCGGACGAAGAGGGCTGTCGCCAGCTTGGGGCACCGGGCAATGCGGAGTGCCACTTGTGGACCAGAATATGGGGCCCGTCAACAGCTGAGCCTGCCAAGGTGTCAACGTAACGGTGGAGGCATTCTCTGACATCTCCTATGCTTCTTCTACAAAGGGATATCGATCAGTCCAGGGCCAGGTGTATTTTTATGCTGGAGCACCCATCGTGTGGAGCACAAGTCGTCAAAGTTTTCCAACACAATCAACTCCAGAGAGCGGGCCTGTAGGTCTTTGCGGGGCGTTGGTTGGAGGCAGAGCAACAGCGGCTTTGGCGATGTCGGCGAGAGATGAAAAGGAGGAGGGTCTTCGCAAAAGATTGTGGGGAGACAACTCTGCTGCGATCAGCTTGGCCACAGGAGAAGGTCACAAGGAAGCTGGCGCACAAGACATTTGAGAATCCAGGCTTCAATCTTGCGTGCGGCTCTTCATCAAGGAGAATGGCAATTAGGCCATCTCAATGGCAAAGAGTTAGTTGCTGACTCTTTCACAAAGGTGGTTGGTGGACAAGCTCTTGAACGTCCTCTGCAAGATCTTTGCGTGGGCACGACGAAATCCAAGAACTTAGGTGATGGTGGAGCTTGAAGCGACATGATCAATGCCAAGGTCGCTATGTTGGTTGGCTCCACACTCCTGTCAACAGCGAAGGCATCGGATGGAATGGAGAATGATGACGAGATGTTCTGGCTTTGGGCTCGCGGTCTAATCCTGATGTGTGTGGGTGCAGTCTACGTGTGTAGCAAGGCGTACCGAAGTGGCATTTGGCTGCACAAGAGACTCAGTGGGGCATCGATGGAGGGGTTCAAGGTAGAACAGAGCACTGGGCACGTCAGCGAGCTGAACCAGCGGAGATGGATGAATTGACAGCTATGGTACCCCAGAGTCGTGCAGCCATTGGTGATCCATACGACAAGATGCATGGGCGAGAGACGCAAGACTGGCTGAGTGACGATGAGAACACTGAGCCTCGCAAGGTTCGTCTTCATACAGGAGACCAATTGCCAAAGCGAAAAAAGAAGAAGAAGAACAAGAAGAACAAGAAGAACAAGAACAAAAGGGCGAGCGAAGAAGATGATGATGCAGCTAGTGAAAGAGCTTGGCGATCAATGTTGCGAACAACATCCAATTGGTATGGCGCATCTTCAAGCAGCGCAGCGGTGGATGATTCACGCAGAATGCGGCCACCGTCGGGCTCTAGCAGCGCTGTGGATGATGATTTACACAGAATGCGGCCACCGTCAGGTTCTAGCAGCGCTGTGGTGGATGAGTCGCGCAGAATGAGGCCACCATCGGGCTCTAGCAAGGCCGCTGCTGAGAAGGTATCACCCCAAAATCCATGGACTGAATTACAACAGGAAATGTCAGGGCGAGGTTGGAATCCAGAATAATCCAGACAAAGTCTGGGCAGAGCACTGGAAATTCAAATCTACTGGCAAAAAGCCAGCGCGAAAGGGCACAACACGAAAGATGCCTTGAGCCTAGGATATTTGTTTCTCCACGAAAAAGGGGTGGTGCAAATCATTTGCACACTTGAACATATCAACTTGATCTTTGAAGGCATTTCTTATCAAGAGAGAAGGATCGTGCCCTCGACGTTTCGAGCCAAGAAAAAATATGGGAACATGACATCTTCTTCAAGTTTTGTTCAACGCGTGTACTGAGCGTACTGTCAAACCATGTCAGAGAACTGCTGCTGCACTTGACCTGCGACGCTCTTGTTTTTTTTCATTTTCTAATGGTGTAAGATTATGTATACAAGCAATTGCGAAGGTAAAACCCTCTGAGTTACAAAAAGTTGCAATCGTTCTCTAACATCCTCACGTCGTCATAACTGCACTCACTCACAAACTGAATGCCTCAATCATTCAATCAGCCAACCAACCAACCAACCAACCAACCAACCAACCGATCACAGGCCCACATCATGCTTCCACTCAGTGCCTTTTCCTTTGAGACTCCGCCCCTCGCTTGACCCAACTCCAAAGATGAGGCAACACACATGTAGCACACAGCGCGATACGGCGATACGCGGCGGCACCTCGCTGCAAGAGTTTGAAGATGTTCCGCGGTGAAACTGGCACCGCACCAAAGCGCTGAAACTGCGGAGGACCTCGGCCCTCTCTGGTGCGCATGGCTCCAGGATAGGCCAAGCCACGTGCCAACACCCCCCGGTCCACCAGAAATTCACGCACCAATGGACCAAGATCCGAACCAAAAAGTTGATGATTTCCAACCAGCAAAACCTCACATTCAGCAAGTCATGAACAAGATGCGCACGTCACAAAGAAAAAATAAGAAACAATGAACAATATGATAACATGATCAAGTAAGGAAGTTTAGAAGTCAAACTTCCGACAATATGGACAGATGAAAAAGCAGAGGTGGAGTCAGAGAAGACTAGAGAAGAGAAGAGAAGAGAAGAGAAGAGAAGAAGAAAGAAGATCAGAGAAGAGAAAGAGTCAGAAGAAAGAAGATACGGGCGCGCGAAAAGGTAGAAAAGTCGCGACTCACTGTTTTTCCAATGATTTGTGGCTCCAGAGGGTCGAAGAGTAGGCTCGCTAAAGCGGCGCGTGCGGAGCCATCTGGCCAAATGAGAGATGAAAAATTGCACGCCGTTGTGGCGCGAAGCACATTTCGAAGTCAAAAGTGTTAAAAGCTGATGGGTTGGGAACACTTTTGGAAGTTGAGATGTTGAAAAGTGCACGCCGTTGTGGCACGAAGCACATTCCGAAGTCAAAATGTACAAAACACCTCAGCCTTGGAACACTTTTGGCAGTTGAGATGTTGAAAAAGTGCACGCCGTTGTGGCGCGAAGCACATTCCCAAGTCAAAATGTTAAAAGCACATAAAAACACAACATCCTCGGACCACTTTTGAAGGTTCAGATGTGGTTTTGCGCAAAACGTGAGGATGCCGTAGCATGTCCTAAAAAAATGGCAGGCGTGGGACATGTGAAGAGGATCTGCAAAGATGGATTTCACGTGGCAGGCGCAATACAAGAGGCATGTTCATCAGAGATGTTAGGAGGTCAGGCCGCTGATTTCCTAAGAGGGGTTGCATTTTGGAGCATCAGATCTTCAGGTTTGCGAAAATGATTTTGCGTGACACACTTTGTATGACTGGGCATTTCTTTGTCGTGGCAGGCGCTGTACTTTAGACAGATGGAGTGGAAAAATCGCAAAACGCATTGGTACGAGGCCATCAGCTCTGCATTCAACTTTCCATTCTTGAAGGAAGTCTCGCAGAATTCTTTCGCTTTTGGCGTTGTCAAGTTCAAAAATTGAGGATGTCTCGCAGAATTGCTGCGTTTTTGATGCTGCTAAGTTCTAAAATTGAGGAAGTCTCGCAGAATTGCTTCGTTTTTGATGTTGTCAGCTTGAAAAATTGAGGAAGTCTCGCAGAATAGCTTCGTTTTCACGCTTGCAGATCGGCAACTACAACAACAACTACAACTACCAATACCTCTAAGCCACACTACTACTACAACTACAAATGCAACATACTACACTACATTACACTATACTACTTGCACTACACTACATTACACTACACAAATAATATCTAATTGCGCCACACTACACTGCACTAATTTCACTAATTTCACCCATTACACCACAACAACAACAACACCACCACCAGCTGCTGCTGCTGCTGCTGCGGCTACTACCACCACCACCACCACCACCAACAACACAGCTACAACTACAAATGCAACTACACCTCACTACACTACAACAATTACAGTGCAGCACACCACAACCACAACTACAAATACAACTGCAGCTACAACTACAACTACCAATACATTTACACTACATTACACATATTACACTAGACTACACTACGCAAATTACACTACACTATACAACTACACTACACTACACTAGGCTACACTACACTATGCCACACTACAGTACGCATCACTAAGGTACACTACGCTAGACTACACTAGTTGCACCACATCACAACCACAACTACAACTGCAACTGCAACTACACCTACACTACACTAATTACACTACACTACAACTACATCTCCATTACACTACAACTACAACTGCACTACACCACACTACATCCGGCAGTTGTGCTGAGGTGACCACTGCAACCACTGCAACCACTCCAAAAAACCACAACTCCAGCCACCTTTCGGTCCATCAGTGGATTCGCTCTGCCATCCCTGATTCACAACAACCAAGCTCTCCTATAGGTTTCCTATTTTTGAAACTTCCGCCACCGCCTTGTGCGGTACTACTGGTAACATTACGAGTAACATTACGCATTTGTACTTAGTATGCATCATGTATTAGTGAGCAGAGAGAGAACGAGAGAGAGCGAGAGAGAGAGACAAAGAGAGAGAGAGAGAGAGGTCCCACGGTTTCATGTCCGTTGTCCTGCCTGTACTGGTAGGCGTCTCTAGTGTCAACGATACTGCTGCTGAATGCATGATGCCCAAGTTTACCTTTGACTTTGTTGGACAAGTTGCTGGCCGGTTTCCCACATCTTCTGGTGCTGGAACACCCTGTAAGCCAAAACGTCTCTGTGAGGGCGAATCGGCACTAAAGCTGCAAAAGACTGGTGATACGAAGGATGCCAACTGCTCCACGTCTTTCGAACCTTCTTCAAGAATCTGCATGGAAGGGAACTTGAAGTCAGACACGGGATCCTTTGGTGCCTGGAGAATGGGGGACTTCTCCAGCATTTCCACAAAGTCAATGTCTCCAGCCAATGGCTCATGACTATTGCTGTCCAGCTCTTTCACTTCAAGCTTGTTTGACAAGCAACGCTCTTCTAAGGCCGGTTTCAAGGCCTGAGCTTCATCCTTGGAAGGTAAGAGAAGGTCACCAACAGAAAAGGCCAAGAGCGTGGCAGGGAGTGGCGTCCGAATGGCTGGGCGGCGAAGCTCAGATCGCACGGTCTCCCAGCCATCTCTGAGCCAAGCCTTCAAGCGAAATTTCAACGTCCCAGCTCGAGCTGCTGCAGATGCAGAGCGCAGTCCCAGTGTTCCAGTGACGCCTTGAGAAATCGTAGCGAGATCTCCTTCAGGGCTCGGCATCGTCAACAAATCTGACAAAGGTCCCACGGGCAGTGCAGGCCGCAACTGACTCCAGGGCTGTTGCACATAGCCAGTTGTCGGGTTCACCATCGCTAGACCCTTCAAGCTTCGTCCAAAGCGTAACGCGAGAGCCAAGGCCAAAAGGCCTCCAAAGCCTTCACCGATGAGAATGACTCGCTGAGGTCCCTTGCGATTCAACCAAGTTTCGATTGAACGTAACATCTCAGCAAAGCCAGTCTTGACATCATCGCCCGGAAGGAAACAAGTCCAGAGCCTTCAGTGCAGAATCTTGACGCTTCAAAAACGAAACAAACAATGTGAGCTCCTCATTGCTCTCAAAGCTAGATCAAAGACATGTCATGATCCTATGATTCCTGATCAGGTTGGGCGCATGAATCATGATAGTCAAAAAGAAACTAAGGCGCTGACTCAAAACCTGCAGCCACCAAGCTTGGATACTGCGAGCTTGGAATAGACGATGCCGAAAAATCAATGTCACTCAAATACCTCGGGCCGCTTGCAAAAGGCAAACCCCGCAAGTCCAACTGCTCTGCGAATGCGGAGGGCGGCTGAAGGGTCTCGCGTTTGGTAGGACTGCAAGCAACAAGCATAAGGCAGAAGGTGTCTGGGTGAAACGCATTCCATGACTATCTGATTTCACTGCCCTTCTACTAGGGGGCCTACTTGGTCCTGCCGTGGACAAACAAACCCCGGCACATTCGTCAACCGTATGCTTCTCAGCCTTCATTCCCTGTTGTTCATATTCTGCCAAAAGTCCATATAAATCCTCCCTTCGAAGCAAGGGTATACCAAAACCTGGACGAAACAGGCCAAGTCTCAACAATACATCTGTTGAGTCTAGCTCTTCTGGTCCTCCAACTAGTTCGAACTGCACGGCTCCTATGCTTTCACCTTCACTTACTCTGCTTTCACCCCTTTCATCACGTTCAACTTCACTTTGGCTTGAAGACTGGAGCGCCCACCACGACCGCAATTTTCCTGACCAGCATGATGCCACAAGAACTGGATCACACTAGTCCTAGCCTGCCACATGCAATTCAATCGTGAGAGGGGAGCAATGCTCATAGACTCTCATAGGGTACCATGAAAATGCCACTAGTCACACTACGTCGCACTAAGGATCAGGTGGGACCAAATGGGTTAGTGGGAGGTGTGATATTACAATTACATGCGACCGGCCTGGAGTCGAGGCCGACTTGGCGGCCCGGTGCACCTGCAATTCTGCTGCTGGCTACATGAATCAATGGAAATCTACAGAAGATCAGTGAATAAGCGAAGCACGGTCAAATTTCCACAAAGCATTTGATCATATTTATTTTATCGCTATCAAGTCGCTGCAAGAGCATTTTTGTTCCAAATATGTGCAGGTAATCTATATAATTGCCTTGCCAATAGATAGGCGATGACAGGCGCACACCGCTTAAGATCAAGATTGATTGAAATACATATACAACGGAAAAACACATCTTGAAAAAGGTTTGCAAAGCCTGCCTTCCAATGTCTGCGACCCATCTGCCAGCTGATGAGTGCCGCACTGGCACCCACAAGCCTATAGGGCCTACAGGATGGCTGATGTGATCCAGTGGTGCTGGCACTTCTCGCGCCACCACATCCTCTCAGCACACAGCTGCTGTAGCTCTTGTGACCATGGCCTGATCACGCAGCTGGCGTCTTTGTGTAAATTGCTGAAACTCTACTCTAATCTCTACTGTAATCGCATCACTTCTTTAGACTCCTTCTCTAGGGCTCTAGGAAACAAATGCCACAGCCCATTCTATTATTCAGCCCTACATCTATAACTATGAATGGCCTGCCCCTGGAAGCGCTCGTGCAGGTATGCCGACCAGTGCCATGGGACAAAAGCTCGTTAGCAAAGTCTGGAGTGGCCCCCAGCTATCAAAGTGGATTGGCAGCACTTGAGCGCCAAAACAGCGTCACTAGCAAAATGGCATGGACCGCTGGAATAAGGTCTGCACGCACATATCTGCACAGGTATCCATCCGACTTTCAAGTTACAGCATGAAAGTGGCCAAACTTTCACAGTTTCATTCCTGGAACATCGTGAATGGATTGCTTCCAAGACAATTTGTATCGCTTGTGCACAGCATTCTTGCTAAATCCAGTTGCGTGAGCAAGCTCCTGCCACGTTGAAAAAGGCCAGGCGGACTTGGATAAGACCAATGGAGCCTCTGATGTTTGTTGGGCGCGACCTGGGAGCAATAGCGTGTCTGAACGCATCCGGATATATCCGGGGTGTTTCAGTTGGAAGCTCAACACTGGAGACACTGCTTGGAATTAGAGCAGCAAAGATTTCACAATGGTTCTTGCTGCATATACCACCCTGTTTCGTCTGTGGGGAATTTGATCGGCTCATGACTCATCGAAACACCAACAAAGATAACAAAGTCGTCCGAAAGCGCAGCTCAGCCACCTTAACTCCCAGGTCTTCCGCCTTGCAAGGATCTTGCCCTCAGTGCGGCAACCAAGAAAACTCCACTGCGACAAACGATTCCACAATTTTTGTGGAATCATTAGAAATCCACTCCAAAAGATTACTTTCACCCAAGCTCCTTGTTCATCCATTTTCAGGCATGCGGCATTACAGTATCAGCTAACCAGTGACTGCTCGTCCAGCGACATATCTTTGGTGCACTTCTTGCTTTACTTGTTGGATTCACAAATTGCTCAGCTCCACACCAGCCACCTCAGGGCAAGTGACGTGTGCCGCTGTTCGATAAAAACACTTTGAACCCCTCCCCAGCTGGAAACTTTCTACATCTTTCTACTATGCCGCTATGTCTTCAAAACTTAGCGGCCTTCTCTGTATGGCATCTTGTTACATTCAGCAGCAATGTCCTACCTACCTTCACAACCTTTCACACATGGGCTTTGGTTTCAGTTCATTGATTCATGCCCAAAACCAAACCAATTATATACAGTAGAAGACGTCTACTTTTGCGGCATAGTTGCGGCTGTCGAATCTTGAGGGCCAGCTTGGGGGCCCTTGGCACCTGCGAATGCGGTTCTGACATAACACCGTGGCATGCGTGATGAAGTTGACCCAGTCAATTGATTGCACGATAATCTCAAGGCCGGCTGTATCCTGAAGAGTGTTTTGTTTTGATGCGCATCTGTCAAACCAATAAGCCTTGGAAATCTTTTGCACTTTCTTCCGCTTCTTGACATCATTCGAAGACTTCGTGCCCTGCGTCCTGGCTGAAATGCTGACTAAACTTTGCTCGATATCATCGGCTACAGTGGTCGACCGTCAATTTCAGATGCAGTACCTGGCAGACTTCGTTTACCTCACACGTCTCACTTCTGGAGGGGCCGCAGTCCTTTTCTGCTTGATTCCTGGGCGACCACGGGCAAACCCAAGCACACTGAAGACCCACCCACGATGATACAAATGATGGAGAGTACATTTGCTCAGTGGAATACCCTGAGCCACCTTTGCATCAATATCATCACCACACACAGCTTTCCTTTCCACCATATGTATCACAATCGTTGTAAGATCATGAAGATATCTCGCTGCAAAGCATCCGTTTTGCTTTCCCAATGTGCGCGACATGGCCAACAGGTAAGCGAATCCGCACCGTATAGTGATCCGGGTTCTGGGCTTCAATTCTTTCAATTTTCAAAGGTTTGTGTAGAAGCGAGTCTCTCTGTGAAACCATTGGTTTGAGTGACCCTCGAACCTTGCTGTTGGACCAGATCAGCCCAGCTAGCCATGTTGGGCTGTAAAGTTTCAACAAATCGTGACAGAAGAAAGGTAGCAAACTGGGTAGCACCAAGTGGGTGGAAGTGGAAATGCAGTAGTTACATCGCAGTGTGGCTGCCTGGCCGTGCTCAATCCAAGGCAAAGGAAAACCGATTGAAGCTACTCTTCAGGAGCCAGATTCGAATTGCCCGCTTTAATGCACGGCTGCACGCTCAATGCCAAAAAGTCGGCCGTCTCGGTACTTAAGCTATCTCATAATATCTCATGAATCTCAAATATACAGCTTGCCCCGCCACGCAGCTTTTGCCGTCTCTGTTCCCATTTGCTTTGAAACGGGTCTTGTGGGACCGTCTCCCACGAAGAGTTTCAGATCGGAACTTCAGACCTACGAGTCTGCAGATCTAAAACTTACAGAGTCTACCGGCTTCTGGAGACATGAGATGATTTATAATGCAAGAGTCCCCGTGTCAAAGTACTTTATGCCCATTGAAAATACGATCTTATATGATCTCCATGTGCTTCAAGCTGGAAAAATCTGCAGCGGAATCACGCATATACACATATATATATATATATACAGTAAATCAGCATCATGACTGCAGAACAGATGACAGGAGGTTGCCTCTGTCAGCTAGGCAGTGCGTCTTCAAGCAGCTTCAAGTGGCCATGCTCTGTCTGACATTTGTCCCCTTCAGCATCTCAGGAGACCAAAAGATCTGCCACGTGCCGAGCCAAATTTGTGAGCAGCGTGAGACAAAGACCGAAGACCCAAAGGGAAAAAAGAGATCACAAATGATTACCAAACAAGGCAGCACAAATCACAAAAGAATACAAACATCACAGGAAAGCTCAGCCACCCAGAGATGCCCCGAGCCTCTGGTCCCACAGTCCTCACAAAAGCAGCATGGACAGCTGACGCTTGTAATTCAAAGGTAAGAAAGACGGGGTCGCATTGCCTTGCAACTTTGACCGTCCTCGTGAGATATGGAGGCTCCAATTCTATGTATGTATGTATATATATATACATAAGTCTAGATATTTGGCTCAAAGCTGCAACAAACGCCACATGAGACCACCTGACACCACTTGAAGCACAAACATCTCACAGTACGCATCATGCACACCAAGCATCATATTGGACGGCTGTGAAAGGTCATCTGCATCGTGTTTGGCCGCACCAATGCCTTCAGCAAAGTTCACATAGCAAATTTGCACGAATGCAGGAATAGCATGGCAAAGCGATGTGTGCAGGGCTGACGTATAAGATTCCGCCTGCAATGCAGGAAGCAAAGAGAGCATCAAAGCGAGCATCAAAGCGAGCATCAAAGCGAGCATCAAAGCGAGCATCAAGTGCACAGCAAACGGTGAATCTCTTGGGTCAGAACTGTTGACTAGCCGTGCGGCAGCATCTCGGTCAGTCCTCAGAAGAATAGCACACAAGTGACCACAGTGATTTGAACAGTGATTCGTGCAAGAGACACTCAGGTTCCTGCAAACCAGCTTCCAGCATCGTCTGCTGCTCTTCTGTCAACTCGTAGGAGTCATCCTTGCCAACTTGGAATGGTCAAAGGTCTTGCACTCAAGCTTGCTCAAAATGTCTTTGGATGTCTCTCATGGAAACAAACGTTTAAATCATCCCTGTTGCCAGTCATTCCCCTCCACCCTTTTAGTGCGAATAGATGCGAACAGTGAGTCTCTTGGCCTCATCATCTGCTACGGGTCTCTCCTGGTCAAGTGTAGTAACTGCAGCAAAATGCTTGTCCTATACCGTATTCATCTGTGTCCCCTTCATTAGTCATTGTAGTCATTGGGTTATCAGCCCAAATATTCTCAATTGTTGATCCTATCCTACTCTTGTCTTCAATTCTCCATCTCTGCACCGCTGGCCTCATCGGATGAGTCTGCTTCAGGCGGAGGTGGTGGAGGTGGCATCGGAGCTTCATTTGGATCGGAGCATCTCCTCCCACCTCGGCATCGCTGATCAGGTCATGCTGCCACGCTGCCATTGATCCAAGTCTTCTCACTGAGCTATCAGCAGCTGTCAGCTTCTCAGGGTGGGACACAATCCACGCAAACCTGAAAACAAGGCCTTTTCCCGCTTTCTCTGCTCAGCCTGACAAGCTGCCGAGAACATGTGGTGTTGGACTTCTGGGCATTCGAGAAAACACAAGCCTTTCCGATAACAGCACCACCCAAGAGCATGGTTGCATGCAATTTTCTGCAACCATTTGGGCATGAAAACTATGCAACTCCACGCTACGAGTACCGCAGCATCATTGTTTCAGTCATCTCATTGCAGCATGGACGTATGATTACAGTACCTATGTCTGATGTCCCGCCTCTTGTAGCTTTAAGGCGGCCCTGCGAGACTGGGAAATAGTGTGAACGGACAGACCTGGAAAATGATGAATATGCTATTATATACTGTTATATACTGTAGTACATGTTTGTTGTCTGCCGAATTCTGGATGCTTCTTAAATGCAAGGCCACAGGCACCAAGGCACCGACAATTTTTTCCGCACATCTGCATTGTCAGGATGAACCTGGCATCACAAGAAACATAAGTAACATAAGCGTATTCATGAGAGATTGTCATCATGGAACGCCAAGATGCAGTAGCTCAGAGGTATCATCCGAGGTACCTACCCAAACTATGCAAATGAATGTCTATCCAATCAATATGACCTTAGAAAGCCTTAGTACCTCCATTTTAGGCACCTGAAATGGCCGTTGAAGCCACCTTTTCAAATTCGAAATATCATCGGGTATATACTATCCGGAGGTTACCATAGTGCAATGACTGCCTACATCTGCCTACATCTGCCTACATGATAGGGTGGCACCTGGACAGTGCACAGGCTGAACACAGCGTGACACCATTTCCACCCAGCGCTTTCGCAGTGTTTTCCCACCTCCAATGAGAGTTTGCAGCTGGCTATTGCCTTGGAGACCTCGGCGTTGCCAGCGAGAACGACTCTGAATGACTCTGAACAATTTTGATGTTAAACATGTGGCTCACTTGACTCACTTGACCACGTTGGGCATGCATGAGGCATGAGGGAGCATGAGGGAGGGAGTTAATAACAGTTAATGAAGTTCAAACAATCTAAGGCAAGAGACCAAAAGCAAAAGCATGTAGAACAACTCGGCGTCAGAGTACGTAAAATAAATATATCATTGCATCAATAGATATATATATATAATTATGTGTGTATATATATATATATCAGCAGCCGCAGATAGCAGCAGCATGTTACAGCATGTTTAAGTATCTACGCGGGACCTCTCCAGCTGCTTCGTAGGCTTCGGCCCTTCGATAGTGTACCTGCACAAATGCTCTGAAGTTCATTTTCAGCCGCGCTGAGGGAACAAAAACAAATGGAATTTGTATCTCGCCTTCCCCCGCAAGTCTGCCGAAACGGCAACTTTTAAGCGCTCCTTCAAGGCCTTCAGGCGAGGCAAGCTATGCACATCTGAGTGAAGAATCACATGCTTGAAATGGGGGAAGGGGGACTTTCCACAACATTATTCCTGCGTATTCCTGCGCGCTTCATTTTTTTCCCGAGAGCGTCTGAGCGCAGGGTTCTTCCAATAGTGGGGGTCTGTATCTCATCTTCTCATCTTCACACCTTCTCATCTTCACATCTGCTCATCTTCACACCTTCTCATCTTCACACCTTCTCATCTTCACATCTGCTCATCTTCACACCTTCTCATCTTCACAGCTTCTCATCTTCACATCTGCTCATTTTCACACCTTCTCATTTCACATCTGCTCATCTTCACATATGCTCATCTTCACATCTTCTCATCTTCACATCTGCTCATCTTCACATCTGCTCATCTTCACATCTTCTTATCTTCACATCTTCTCATCTTCACATCTTCTCATCTTCACATCTGCTCATCTTCACATCTGCTCATCTTCGCATCTTCACATCTTCACATACTCACATCTTCTCTCTCTCTCTCTCGCGCACTCACATCTTCACATACTCACATCTTCTCTCTCTCTCTCTCTCCTGTCTCTCTCCCTTTTCTCTCTCTCGCCTTCTTTATCTTTCTCTCTTTAGACCGAGGGTTGGTACCGGCGGGGAGTCACGAAACGTCAACCCTTTCGCACGAAACGAGGTTCGATCGTCAAACACTGAGGAAAAATTGCGATTTTACTTGTGCCGGAGCAACCCTTTCGCACGAAATGAGGGTCGATCGTCAAAACTGAGGAAAAATTGTGATTTTACTTGTCCCGGAGCAACCCTTTCGCACGAAATGAGGGGCGATGCGCAAAAACTGAGGAAAAATTGCGATTTTACTTGTGCCGGAGCAACCCTTTTGCACGAAACGAGGCTCGATGTGCAAAAACCGAGGTAAAATTGCGATTCAACTGGTGTTGGATGTAAAAGGGTGTGAGTGTAAGAGTGTAAGCGTTTGTGTGTAAGAGGGTCTGTGTGTAAATGGGGTCCGTGTGTCGCAGCTTCTGTGTGTCAAAGGGTTTCTGTGTCAAAGTGTCTGTGTGTAAAAGGGTTTGTGTGTAAAAGTTTCTGTGTGTAAAAGCTTTTGTGTGTAAAAGCGTTTGCGTGTAAATGCTTCTGTGTGTAAAAGCTCCTGTGTGTAAAAGGGTCTTTGTTAAAAGTGTCTGTGTAAAAGCGTCTGTGTGTAAAAGCTTCTGTCTGTAAAAGCTTCTGTGGGTAAAAGCTTTGTGTGTAAAAGCGTCTGTGTAAAAGCGTCTGTGTGTAAAACCGTCCGTGTGTAAAACCGTCCGTGTGTACAAGCGTCTGTGGGTAAAAGGGTCTGTGTGTGAAAGTGCCTGTATGTAAAAGCTTCTGTGTGTGAAAGTTTTTGTGTGTAAGAGCTTCTGTGTGTAAAAGCTTCTGTGTGTAAAAGTGTTTGCGTGTAAACGCTTCTGTGTGTAAAAGCTCCTATGTGTAAAAGGGTCTTTGTTAAAAGTGTCTGTGTAAAAGCGTCTGTGTGCAAAAGCTTCTGTCTGTAAAAGCTTCTGTGGGTAAAAGCTTTGTGTGTAAAAGCGTCTGTGTAAAAGCGTCTGTGTGTAAAAGTGTCCGTGTGTAAAACCGTCCGTGTGTACAAGCGTCTGTGTGTAAAAGGGTCTGTGTGTGACAGTGTTTGCGATGCAAACTATTGTCTTGTACTTGTGCTATATTGTCTTGATACTCCTCTTCTCGACTGCCTATAACACATCTTTAATATATGGTGTCTCCATACTAACAAGAGAAGACCCTGCTCCTCTACGCTCTCGGGCCATCCGTCGTCTAGTTTGTAGCTGCCACCCGAAGCACCATTGATTTGACAAAAGCTGCAGCTATATCCAACTCAGACGACCGCTGCGTGAATTGTACGCTCTCAAATCATGTCGTGAGCTAGTAGACTTGCACCATCGTGCACCCCCTGCCTGCTCGCAATGCTCTAAGGACTTGTCAATTTTCTTCTGCTTGATGTATGCGAGCCTCAATGAGTTTGATACAATGTTTGTTGCCACGATCTGTCTATGAGGAATGTGGATATGTACTGCCATAAGACCCTGGCGCCAAGTTGGAGTGAAGCCGAAATTCTGTTTCTGCATCCTGTTGGAAAGCGATGCTCGTTTCTAAGGTGTTCAATGGCGATGCCTGAACAAAGTCATTTTGGGCTTCGTGGCCTCGCCCTGCGTTGGAGCATCTCTGGAAGAAAGATCAGGCGAACATCATTCCGTGACCTGTTTGTCAAATGTCCTGTACAATGCGGGTGTAGCGCATCTGGTTACCCATGTTTGGCCATGCGTGACTGGTTTTGTGCCTGGATTTTTTCAGCCCCACGCAAGGCATTCTTCCAATACCTTGCGATCGATGATGCTCGCTGCGGAAGAATCGATGCTTCTTCGCAACATAGAAACACCGGAAATCAGAAATCACTATGAAGGCGCCTCTTTGCCTTCTTCCAGTCCTGACCATGGGGAGGTGAAGTGATGCTGAAGCTGTGAAAACAGGCGAAGCAAACTTCAGGCTTAATGAATCCTAATGATGCAAAAATCATTTGTGAATATTTGTGAAATGGTTGCAGCATCCCATCATGTTCCAAGCTGTCTGAGGAGACCACCCCTTCACGACTCGCAGCATTCCCATTAGATTTTTCGAGTTCTGTTGCGTATTCGATCTCTTTGCGCCTGCCATGATAGGTGGCTCCGCCTCTGGTCAAACTAAATGCTCCACGAAGGCCACAGGTATTCAGCCACATTCAGACGCATTCACCTCTTTACAAGAAAGCCAAAGCTAGAGCAGCCAGAGAGATGAAGTTTGGTGGAATTGGCATATCACCTGTGCAGCATAAAGCGAAACAATCCAGGCTGACGTCTTTCCATACCACAACGGATCATCCTTGGCAGAAAGCTGGGTTCTCAAAGCAAATGTATCACGCCAATTCAAACTCCAGGCAGGTTCGACAAGGCAAACAAAAGGTAATCGTGTTTAGATATTTCATTGATACTTCATGATATT